TGCACATGCACACACAGAGAGATAGTTTTTGAGTTTTTGTGTATTATACAAAGAAAAATGCAGTAATATAGATTTTAAAAATTGAATAAAACTAACAGAAGGGCAGCAATTAGTCTGGTAATTGACTATTTTCTACATTAGTTAATTGTTAAAGAAATATACAGACCATTGGCTAAGTAAAAACAAACAACAAACATAATCACCCTTGACATCTGAACGAACCTAAAGATACTGTAGCTATTTATTAAATCGGTTTTCAAGTCTGTTGTCTATGTAACAGTTATAACTGGCATCATGTGAGTGAGGCAGAAGTGATTCATGATTCCTTGTGTGAGTAAATTATACTGACCTGAATATACTGGGCCCAGTATTGAGCCCAGTGGCACTCCAAGGCAACAGTTATTTTGAAGAATTTCATTTTTAAACTTATCTGTTAGATAGGCCTGAGAAAACTTTAATATTTTTGGACAACTTTTACCCAGGTTCACACAGGTTAGAATTATGCTGCAAGTTCATAGTAAACACAAGGACACATAGCATTAAGCAGTCTATAGTCCTAACTTCTGTATTGCTTCCTAACAGTGTTCCTATCTCAGCCATAAAATCCTAACATCACAAATCAATAACTGCTAATGTGGACTCTGCATCACATAACTGGCTCTGCCAAATGAAAATAATTAATGTACTGAAAAAGTTTGACTCTTTCAGTGCTGTGCCACAGTGAAACGATGAAACCCAAAGCAACTCTTTCACTTTCAGGAGTGTATTGGCTATAAGGACTTTTTTTTAACTTAACCTTCTTTAACTAATTTAAGAAGTATTATTAGTTGACTGTTTGACAGACAATTTTTTAATGGAATAAAACATTTTAGTAGGAATTTTAAGAATGCGCAGTCTAAGCCCTTTAGAGTTAAATTATAGAGACTGACATAGTAGCGAGCTAAATGAAGGGAGGGTGACAGCTTTGAAGTCTTTGCTTAAGGATTGTGACCAGGATCAGCTACTGTACAGCTACAGCTTGCTAGTTAACACGTTGTATTATTATTTCTTAACTACGTAAAAACCATACTGCAAAAATGGTAAGTTGTGGTTTAAACAGGGAACTACTGTGACCAACGAGCCTGCTTTTGTTGTGAGCTCTAAAGGTAATGCCAAGTTTTTTCACAAAAACATGCTAGCTGGTTCTAGTTTAAAGGTTAAGCTAGCTTAATACTAAATATACAAATATGAAAGTAGTATCCAGCTGAGCATATTTTACCCACCCTTTAACTATTTGTTAAAGAGGTAGAAAAATGCTTCTGAATGTCCCTCTTTAACCTGAAACTTTAAACTATGTTAAGGTCTCGATTTTCAACATAATAAACTATTTTTTTTAGCAAATGTGAGAAAACACCCATTAAAAGATTGGATAAAGTTGACTTTACCCAACAGCTTCTTAATAGCTGTTCATTTAATACTACTTATCAGTCTTAATATTTGTCATCTGATCTTATTCTTCATTTTCTTACTGTCTGCAGATCCGCAAGGCCGTGCTTCAGATCTTCTTCGCTGACAAGCCTTTCCACTGGGTTAGACACATTGGCATTGCCTTTTGTCTCCTGGTCGTGGTCAATCTTCTTGTTATCCTGGTGCCCTCCATCCGTGACATCTTTGGCATTATTGGTATGTTTACACAGCAAAAATGCAGCTGCTCAGTTCCGAAATTGGGGCTATTCTTGACTCTATATGGGATTTTTTTTACAAGCTTCGGTTAAAATCATAAATCTCTAAGTTCATGCTAGTACAAATAGAAAAAATATGTATATATGGATCATTTGGAAGAATTGCGAGAAGAAAGCTTCTTCTTTCTAAAGAACATAACAACATGACATGTGTCGGAACAAATGACTCCTGGAACAATGTCCTTTGGACGGATGAGATTAAAATGGAGCTATCTGGCCATAATGCACAGTGCCGTATTTGAAAAACAAAAAAAACAGGGCATATTAGCACAAATACCTCATACCAACTATCAAGCATGGTGGTGGAGGGGTGATGATTTGGGCTTGCAGCCATAGGACCTGTGCACCTTCCAGTCACTGAGCCAACCATGAACTTCTCTGTATGCCAGAGAATTCTGGAATCAAATATGAGGCCATCTGTCTGACAAATAAGGCTTGGCCCAAATTGGCTCATGCAACACGACAGTGATTCCAAACACACCAGGAAATCTACAGCCGAAATAACTAAAATGGCCCAGTCAAAATGCAGACCTCAACCCATCTAAAATATGGATGCATAAATAAATGCCTACTAACCTCAGTGAAATTAAACAACATAGTGTACATAGAGTATAATTATTTTTTTTACAGGACTTCATAGTCTACATTCAAACTGACTTTTTCATATAACTGTAACAGATGTCATTTTCCTTTTATTCTTGGCTGTTTGATGAACAAAAATGTGTTTTATGGTTGAGTATAAAAAGGTTTAGTAAAATATTTTTATTATACTGACTAGATCATCTGTAAATCATGCTATGAATTATTTCTACACAGCAAAATCGCCAGTGTTAAATTAACACTAGAGAGTGTCTATATGGGTCCACACCTCTGAGTGTTAAATACAACACTGTTGAGTGTTAAATTAACACTTTTGACAGTGTTATATGTTTGGAAGTAACCTAGTCAGTTTTGAAGATTAACAAAGACTAACACTGAGCAGTGCTGATTTTCTAACACTGTAAAATAACTCAAAATGTTAGAAATATTCCAGTGTTAGAAAATCAGCACTGCTCAGTGTTAGTCTTTGTTAATCTTCAAAACTGACTAGGTTACTTTTAAACATATAACACTGTCAAAAGTGTTAATTTAAAACAGTGTTGTATTTAACACTCAGAGGTGTGGACCCATATAGACACTCTCTAGTGTTAATTTAACACTGGAGATTTTGCTGTGTAATAAATAAACTCACTTATTTATTCTGTGCTATCATCTACAGGAGCCACATCCGCCCCCAGCCTCATTTTCATCCTACCCGCAATTTTCTATATCCGAATTGTTCCTGAAGACCAGGAACCCCTGCGGTCAAGATCTAAGATTCAGGTATATCCTACCTCTATCAAAGATGGTATTAACTGTTCTTGGTCATGTTAATCTCCATATATTAGCTTTTATCTGTTCTTAATACACATGTTGTTTTCTTATCCTTTATTACTGCAGGCCATATGCTTCGCTGCATTGGGATTTGTCTTCATGGTCATGAGTTTGTCATTTATTATCATTGACTGGGTGACTGGAGAGAGTCAAAGTGTAGGTGGGCACTAGCTGCTATAACTGAACAGAGGTACTGCACACAGAGCGTCAACCAAAGCCCTCTTTTTCATTAAATTAGCCCCATCTTCTCATCCAAAGCCAAACTAGAAAGTTTGACTACACAAGATGAAGGATAACGTGAAGAGCCTTCGCCTACATCAAAAAAAACAGGAAAGTGTTTTTACATGTGATGGAGCAGGCGATATGTCCTGTACCGGAGGAGAGAACACAAATGCATGAAAATACAAAGCAAAGTGTTCTGCCTCGATCAGTCCTGTCACAGCTCAAACTAAGGATTTTGTTTGGGGTCATATATAGATTTGCAGCAAATGCTTTGAATGAGAAAAAAAGTGGAAATTCCGTTTTTGGATGTGGACAGTTCCTTGGAATTGCTCAGTCAATGTCTACATTTCACAAATCTACTTCCCTACCATGTCAGATTTTACAGAACTTACATGTATTAGTTTTGTAAGGCAATATTTTCTTTGCCTGAGACATTTGTCAGCTATGGTTTACTTTTACTTTTATGACTGACAAATCTGCCATTTCCCCAAACTTTACCGTTTCAGCTAATTATGGCCGTCGAGGGTTAGTCTGCAGTTCCACACAAACAACTGCTTATGATCAAAAATGTTTTCAGTGAATTTAACATGGATTCTAATCAATGCGTTTAATGTGATATTTCATCCATTTAAAAAAAATTACTGTCACAATTATGGTCATCGTGAAGTTTCCCAGTGACCTGGCAAAATACGGTGCAATTTATGGGATTTCTTTTTTTGTTTTTTGCTGCTGTTCATGAAGGTCAAACAGACAGTCATGTGTGAGAGGTTTGTGAAAACCGAAACAAAGTTTTTATGTGAGCCTGAACATCCATAATTGAAAACCAAAGAATCTATTTATTATGTCACATTGTGAAAGTGTTTCTTTTTCTTTCTTTTTTTTAACATGCTTGGCAAAGACCAGTTAAAGTTGTACATGAATTCATCCAGTGTTATAAATGCTGCGTATGTTTAATCAGTACCAGAAACTTTTCATTGTGTTCAATAATGGCTTCAAAGTGGACCTGTTATGCTTTCACTGTTTTTATCTCAGTCATATACATAACTCTTACAAGGGGTGTGCTCATCTTAAACAAGTTTGAAGTACTGAGGTTAGCAAGTCCAAGTAATCCCGAGAGCAGAAAGCTCAGACTTCAGACTGCTCTAAATGCTCATTTCCTTATTTGTGACAGTTTTTAGCTGCTGCTGCATAAGATCTTTATTTGCTGTTTGAACCACCTGCTGTTCAAAACCTCTGTTTGCAAAGGACAGTTGGTCAGAAAGAAGTCTGTTGAAAGGACTTTGGGTGCTCTGGACCATCTGAGGGCTTGCAGTAAAGTCCACTAAGCATTATTTCAAATGAAGCATGCAAAGCTGTTCTAATAGACTGAAATACTCAAAATACGAAGCACAGTGGGTCCTCTTTAAGCAAGAATTAGTGAAGTCCTTTTTTTGTTTTTAAAATGTGACTAAGAGACCTGTTAACATTGTAATTCATCCTGTACATTTTTAAATTAATTTGAATGTTGTTAACTGTCAATAAAATGTGTTTTATTTGTACATAATCGTCTCTTTTTTAAAAAATTTGTATAAGAGGTCGCATAAACTCAGCGTATCTAAAAGAACGTTACTTGAGGAGGAGAGATATAACATTGCACTTCCTCCTTCTGAAAATGGAAGTAACACGTTTGTGCTCTGGGTCTGAGCGAGAGAAGAAAAAATGTGGTCGTTCGTTTCCGGCTTTGAGTTGATGTGTGCAAAGAAGGGAGAAGAGAAACTTCCTTGACTGTAGAGCTAACTATAGAGAGTATTCTGTTGCAAGGGCGCTTGTTCAAATGCCGTGCATACAGTAGTTTAGGATAACCGGTTTTATCACAGGACTATGAGTCGTGGATCTAAAACTAAAACAGAGAGCACTCAAAGCTTTCTGCTGAGCCCACAGGAGAATGACAAGCTGGAGGAGCTGCTGGGCAGAAGGTGTGCTGTAAGTTCTTAGCTGACCCGGGAGGGGATTACCAACTGAAAGAATGTCGCTCTGCTTTATCTGTCTTGACTTGTATCCTTTTCGTTAAAAGCGTTTACCTCAAAAGAAGGCGGCGTACACTGGAGTACACATTATTCTAATTGATGCACAGTTTAACAATGGGTTGAGGACTGTTATACTTTTAACACAGCATTGTTGTACCATCATTTTCTCAACTCTCTTTTGGCAGATTATTTTCTTAATGCTTTTAGTCGCTTTATTTTTGGTCCATTTGAAGGCCTGTCTTATTTTACTCTATATTTTTGAAATCTATTGATAGTTTTTGTGAATTCAAGCATTATTTGCTGACATTAGGTCATCAAAAAGTAGGTAGCTGTAACAGGAAATGGTGGCTGAACCAATTCTTCCTCTGCTGTCAGAATTAGTCACTATGCTCAGCTTTGGCCTTGTTCAGTTCTTGCTTTTGGCCTCTGAGGTAAACAATAGCGTTTACAGTTGTGACCCCGCCATAATAACAAAACACTAGATGTGCACAAGCTACACATTTTAATTGCGTAGAAGGCTGCATTGAAAAACTAGGAGCATCACAAACTTTAAGCCTTATCTGAACAAATGAAAGCAGATGAGGAAGTTTATTCTCACTGCAAAGCTGCAAATTTACATATGAACTGTAATAAAGAGCTCTCAAGTTTCCTATCAGCTCTGAGCTCTTTTCATTGTCTGTCTTGTCTATGTGTTCAGTCCATGGCCACCGCAGTCGTACAGCTGTTCATGGCTCTACCTAACAGTTCATCCATGTGGAGCTTGCAGCACACTGGGGTGGCCTGTTTCGTCAAAGACAACCCTCAGCGCTCCTATTTCATACGGATGTTTGATTTAAAGGTAACCCCCTACATAATGGGTCCCGTATTAGATAGCTTAGATTAAGTTTCTAATCTCACAAGACTGACATATTAATTCACTCTTTTTACAGGTCGGGAGTATGGTTTGGGAGCAGGAGCTCTACAACCAAATTGTGTACTCAGCCCCAAAGCAATTCTTTCATACCTTTCCTGCTGATGTAAGCACACCCCTTGTTTTAGCTCATCTTAAAGCTGTAATTATGATGTGATGTGGTGCAATTACTTCTGGTGTAATCATCACTATAGGTCAAAAATCATCATTCCTGATTCTGTGTGCGTTTGTTATACACTGTAGGACTGCCAGGTCGGACTGAACTTCTGTGATCTGCAGGAAGCAGACTTATTCCAAACTGCTGTTCAGGAAAAAATCAACCAAAGAAACACCCGTCAAGGTCAGTGAGGCCACAGCCTTTCACTGCTTTGATGTCTCATTTTAGAATTGGAAAGCAAAGAATACATTTGAAATATTATGGTTACCACTTACTCACAATTTATTTGTGTATAGATGGTTTGAGATTAATATATATGTTTGAGAAAGCACTGTGGGGGAAAAACAAACAAACATTAAAATCACACTAAATGAGGAAGTTTTTTTTTAATTTTTATCAAGTACCCTATTCTAGTACTCTTAGAAAAAAATCGCTTCCAGGCTGATACGTGGTTATATGTGAAATAACAAGTCGTTCATTTGTTTCAACGGCTGTGTGTGGGGTTTATGCAAAATGGTTTCTCTCACCTCTCTCACAGATAAGAAACAGCGCCCCCCGCACACTAGTGGTAAGATGGCAAAAACTTCAAAACAGTATGCTGTGTAAACGTGGCAAACTGTAGTGCTACATATAATTTTCTGTTTTCTTTCACTGCAGACAGAAGTTCCCTGCCTCCACTCCCACCTGAAAAAGGTGTGCAACTGCTGTCTTTGCTGTGTACCTTTTACTATTGATACATAAAATGAAACATACTAGGAACATATTAACCAGTGTGCTAATCTGGACGTCTTCCAAAAACAGGACCTAGTGGCCCTCCTTCTTTTCACATGGCCACAGTGGACATTCAAAACCCAGATATCCAGTCTTCACGCTATCGCTCGGTGCCTACACCTGCTGCTGCCTCTGCTGCGACGGGCAAAGGAAAGAAGGACAAGAAGAAGAAGCAGAAAAAAGGCCCCAAGCTCTCCAAAGCAGACATAGGAGCACCTAGTGGATTTAAGTGAGTGTATGACTCGCTGAAAATGAAGTTTTATCAGAGGTTTTAGAGCAATGTTCATATTTTGTTGTTTAAATTTAACTTCAATAAACTGTTTCCTTCTTCTTTCCTTCCGTCAGGCATGTAAGTCATGTGGGGTGGGACCCTAACAACCTGGACCCTGACCTGATGCGGCTGCTGTCTCAAGCTGGCATTAGTGAAGCTGAAATGAGGGATGAAAGAACCTCTCAGCTCATCTATAATGTAATTGAACAGTCAGGAGGGATGGAGGCAGTCAAAAGGGAGGTGAACAAATCAGGTTAGACTCTCACTGCCTCGTTTTTGACTCAGTTAACTATCTCACTGTTCCAAACAGGCTGATCTCGTTGTTAAACCGTGGATGAGTTGTAATATATGTTTATACCTTCTTCCACTCAATTGTAGCTACAGGACCTCCACCTCCTCCACCTGGCAGACAGGGGCCCCTCCCTCCGCTACCAGGCTCTAGCCCCTCTGCTCCAACCCCTCCACCCCAGCGAGGCCGTTCTGGCCCCCTGCCTCCCATTCCAGGTCATTCACAGCGAGCAGGCCCGCCTCCCCAGCCACCTCCTTCTCGTGGATCTTTACCACCCCCTCCTCCATCGAGCCGAAGCGGCCCTCCGCCACCCCCGCCATCACATGCTCCACCTCCTCCATCTTCAAGGTCTCCTCATGCCCCACCTCCCATGTCTTCCCACGGCGCTCCTCCTCCTCCACCACCAAGCCAGCGCTCCGCAGGTTTTCCACCTCCTCCTGTCCCGTCTACACCCAGCAGAGGGGTTGGTGGTGGAGGAGGAGGAGGAGGAGGAGGAGGGGGAGGGGGCCCACCTCCTCCTCCTCCACCACCACCACCGCCACCTCCCCAAACTTCAGTTTCTTCAGATTTCCCTCCTCCTCCTCCCATATCTGGCGGTGCACCGCGACCTACTTCCGCTTCTGTTGGTGGAGGAGACAGCAGAGGAGCTTTGCTGGATCAGATCCGACTCGGGAAAAAACTGAGAAATGTAAAGAAACTCGGCTTTCTCAAGAACATCTGTTACATAAGTCAAACGTCTTGATTTTCATGCTGCAACATGCCGAGATATTTGTAGAGCGTACTGACGTTTACATTTTGTCCTCCTGTGGTGTCGTGTATTACAGGTAACAGACGACCCTAATCCAGCTCCACCTGCATCAGCAGAGTCAGGTGAAGGCATTGTCGGTGCTCTCATGATGGTCATGCAGAAGAGAAGCAAAGTCATCCATTCCTCTGGTAAATATTACACTACCAGTAACATCTTTTTATGTACACTCTGGTCTCTTTATTAGGTACACCTGTCCAGCTGCTTATTAATGCAAATATCTAATCATCCAATCTCATAGCACTAAATCAGTACATTTAGGCATGTAGATGTAGGCAAGACCACCTACTGAAGCTCAAACTGAGCATCAGGATAATGAAGAAAGGTGATTTAAGTAAGCGGATATGACATGTTTTGGTGTTGGTGCCGAATGGGCTGGTCAGTGTTGCATAAACCGCTGATATACTGATGTTTTCCTGCACAATCATCTCTGGTTCACGTACAATCGTCTGAGAAAGAAAATATCAGGAAGTTATTTGGATGAACTGCTGGATAGCAGGAGCAAACCTCTGGGCAAACATGTCTCGTTAAAGTTAGAGGAGAATGGCCAGACTGCTTTGAGCTGTTAGGAAGGCAGCAGTAACAGAAATACTCACTAGCTGCATTCAAGGTTGGAGCATCTCTGAACACATCCAAACTCCAATCTTGAAGAAGATGAGCTGCAGCAGCAGTAGACCACACTAGGCATCACTTCCCAGGCTCTGATCTCATTCCAATAGCTCACCTTTGTAATGTGGTGGAACAGGAGATTTGCGTCATGGATGTGAAGCTGACAAATCTGCAGGAACTGTATGATGCTATCATGCAAATATGGATCAAAATTTCTGTGAAATCTTTCCAGTAACTTGCTGAAAAACTAAAGCAGTTCTGAAGGAAAAAGGGGGTCCAAACCAGTAGGAGCTAGGTGTACCTAATAAAGTGGTGCGTGAGTGTATGCATGCATGAGTTAAACCATCAGAGCTACAAACACTTTATATTTGTTCTGTCTTTCAGATGAAAGTGAAGATGACGGTGGGGATGACGATGATGATGACGATGAATGGGATGACTGATCTAGCTGTTCTTGTTTTTTGTGAATTTTCCACTTGCTTGAGTTCTGATGTTTGTTTTAACCCCATGAACTGTTACACTGTTACATGCGATGATCTGTTACAGATTTGTTAACTGCAAACTGGAGTATAGCTTGGATATGTGATAAAGTACTGTTTGTAGGGGATTCGTAAAAAAAAATGAAATAAAATGAAAGAAATATTTCAATATGAAAGATCGAAAGGAACAAATTGATGAGAATTCTGAAATGCTTATATTTTTTTCTAACACTTCCAGTGTAGGATTCATCAGCATCACAACACATAGCAGAGGTGAAAAGCGGCTCCGAGTGGAAAATATGCTTAAAGAGCCATTTAAAAAAAGAGACAAACCCAAAAACCAACCTGTGACTACAGCTTATGACAGAACACCAACAATACTAAATCTGAGCCAGTTTCGTTCCCATTTTTATAACATACTATACATAAAAAAAGTAGGTTCCTGTATCATATTCTCAAACGTCTGTGCAAAAATCCCCAGTTCCCTCAAATACCACCACCTACAAAGTGCATGACTGGAAGAACACTGTACGCTATACATAGCCTCAATACTCACATACTGTAGGTCACTAATGCACAGGACAGTAAGGGAGTCATTGTATGACAAAATCCAATGGAATTAGCTTAACATAAAACAATACACCTTACAAACATCGTAACACACCAGAAAACAGAACAGTTAAATGTACAACTTGCAACAAACAACAACAGTACGCATGCAAAATATGCATTCATGTCATCGTTATGCAAGAGCAATCCAATGACTGCATCACGACCTTATATATTATATTCACAATCAATATATTACATTTCTGTTTCAAGATACTTAAAAGAGAACATACTTGTGTTTTTGCATGTTGGAGCCCGTTAGCTATATCTTACATATACTTTACATCACAGTCATTCTTTGTCCAAATCAACACCAAAGTGTGTGTGAAATATGTGATCAACCCCAATGTGCAGTCTGTTATTCATTCATTTTTTTTAACCACATTGGTAATACAGCTGTGTTTTGGAGAATAGAAATGTATGCTACAACTTAGAATGTGGTCATCAGTAGTGTAAAATATATTTCATATGTATTTACTGGGCTGGCGTTTGCAAAACCACCAATACACGTTAAGGACAGAAAGACAGCATCGCCTGCCTAATGAATAGAAGTGACACCCAAAGATGTGTCAAATGAAAGTCCACCATAAAGTCTATACAGGCCAGTGCCGGACAGTGTTGGTCCCGTCTCCTAGCCGAGCCCTTGGTCCTGGCTTTCTGTGTGCCTGCGGCTGGTGCGCTTACGCTGCTGCTGCTGTTTGGGACTGATTTGTTCCCAGTAGGACTGACAGTACTGGTTGATCAGTCTAATCTCAGGCGGGAATGGTGTAGAGGCGAGGGAGGACTGCGAGTATGGCCGTGTCTGATGGGTTTTTGGCTCTTCGTCCTCGTCTTGAGCGGTGAGAGCTAAAACGATGTCTCGGTCAAGGATGCGCAGCGCAATGCGGGTCACCGTGTGTTTAAAGTTGTTTTCAGTGGCGAGGCAGTGGTAGAGCCCAGCGTCTGTTTGGTTGAGAGACTTCAGAAGGATGCCGTGGTTGGTCTTAACAACCCCTCCGGCACGGTTGAGCTGAAGGAAAAAGGGTGAAACAGCAGATAAGTCAAAGAAAGGGAACAAGTTTAAATAATAATTTTAAATAATAGGGCAAATAATTGTCCTGTGGAAACACAGAAACAGCCTCTTATATAAAAGGTAGCAAAATGCACGTGTTCTTATTTTAATATGTAAAATTATTTTGCTTTATATACACAGGGTCTGCTGTTGCTTACAGCATTGTGTGGCTATTTCTAAGCTGGAAGAAGGGACTTTTTTTCTTTGTTGCCAGTGATCACAAACCTCGATACTTACTGGAAAAAAATAAACTCTCAGCAATAAAAGCAATAAAGATAGTTACCAAAAAGTGAAGTGATTCCTTTTGCATCTTAAAAAAAAAAGGAAAAAGAAAAAAGATTGCTCTTCCTCACCACTTTCCTCTTTCCTTCTCTCTGGAAGAGCCACTTTACTGTGGCCTGGGGAGAACGAGGCTGACACTCCAAGAAGGTGCTGCTGCCCTCTACTCCAAACTGCACTGTCTCTCTCAGACGTTTCTCAACTGGACATTTTAGATGGTAAAAAAAAATAAAGTTAAAAAAATGCTAAATTTTGAAGTTTACATCATTTTAAAGACACATAAAATTGCCACACCTTTGGCGTTAAAGCCTCTGCACTGCCTCAGCGGGTCGCCGTGTTTAACGTCCTGTCTTCTGCTTCTCCTGAGACAGAATTCAAATTCAAATTCATTGAAATTTGACGTTATATTGTCACATCCTTACTTTATAGTATAGAGGTTTATGAGACGTCCCTAACCTTTTGGTTGATGGCGTGAAAGCAGAGCAACTCTCTCCATCCCAGGCACAGTAGGGGTCCCGAGCCAGACAGCAGTCAGAGCAGGCCCTGCCGTACACCCCGCAGCGGTGAAGCGACACTTGGGTCAGCCCTGCATCTGATGACACGTACAGCTGTTGCTGTGGCAACAAAAGCAAAAAAAACAAACAAAAAACTCAGCAAGTGTCTGTGGGGCATTTGTTTTAATACATGCATAGAAATGTATATGACCAGGTTAGATTTGTCTTACTCTTTTAGATGATATTTTCATAGTCTTGACTGGTGCTCTGGTCTAAAAATGTATTAAAAAAAGAAAAATGTAAAAATAAATGACCCCTTTTCTTAGAACACACTGCACTGTGTAGTTTTTAGGACCACACGTTTAGACATACCCGAAAAACCTCCACTTCCTCTAGTGTCAACTCCTCCATGCTCGTTGGGTCCTTAGGCAAAACTATTACCTTTTGCACAGTGCCTCGATCTAGAAGTATGAATGAATTATGATCAAAAACAACATTTGCATGAAAAAAAAAGAAAGAAATCAACTTCAACCGAGCATGTGCAATCATCCCTGAAGTTGTCTCACCTGTCCCCAGGAAGAGCACTTCATAGCGCCCATCAACAGCATCCACCTGATCCACCACCAGGGCAGTGTACCTATAGTCCACACCAGTTCTCACCACCAGGGGGCGGCGATGGATAGGATAAACTGAATGAAACATGAGGGGATGGGCTCTGATGAAATTCACAGCCTCATCTGAAAAGTTCTTTGAGGATCGGATACCAGGAGTGAAGGTTCCTCCCGGACACTGGGTGGAAAAAAAAAAGGAGGGGAGATTTCGTGTGCATCATCTGGTGACTTCCTTTTGATTTAAATTTCAGCATCTGGGTTTTATTCCATTGTGTCATTTTGGACATTACGTGACAGAAACCTACCGTTCCAGGCCTTGGGTAGGGAATCTTGCCAGTGTACTCTGTCCATTGATAATTATGGCCATGTTTGTGGGCAAACGGTCCGTTGAATACGTTGCGGATATCAGCCATCGAGTAAACACAGACTGCTGATCCCTTGAACACAGAGCTTGAGCACAAACAGACAATTAAGGTAATAAGTAGAGGTAGGAGACAGCTTGCACCCTACCCATGAAATTAAGTTATGTCCACAAAAATGTGTGAAAATAAAAACTGAGTTAATGAGATTGAATGAGAAGTGAATTCATTGGGCGAGTCTCCAAATATGTCTCACCCTGCTGTAGTGAAGAGAGCGTACACCATAGGGTTTCGTTCATCCTGCGTTGGCTGTATAAACACATCCCCTATTAAAAGAATGACATGCAAATCAATAACGCTATAGGCAAGTTATAATGCAACCAGTTTAAACACAGTGCTTATTTTATTATGACTTTACGTAGTTCGTCAAATCGTGTCTCCACCCCGTCTTCTCCTATCACCGAACAGATAAGACGAGCCTTCAGGAACGTCGTCCAGCGGTTCACCAGGGACTTCTGTCCTCCTTCGTCATTCTAGACAGGAAAGAAATTAGGTCAATGCATTTTATATTAAAAAGGTGAGCTGCTTATAGTTTCACAGCTTGCGCAGTGTGCTTTGGCTCACCAGACACACTCTTCCCACCCTGGCTAAAACAGTGGGACTCGCCCCGCCGCTGGAGTCTAGACTCTTCTCTCGGAAAAAGAAGTACAGTTTGTCGTCATTCTTTTCTGCACTGTCAGGGATCTGCTGGATTCGAATAAACACAGGCTCTGGAGGATAAAAACAGATAAGCAGAGAGAGGATTGAGGCAAGTGGTTGTCAAAAAAATGAACGGAGCAATAACCTGTAATCAGTAATATTTACCTACTCAGACCCACACTTACTCACCGTTGAGCCATCTGGAGTCATACTGCTCTGTCCTGATTGCCGTTCTTCCTCCCATGGTCCTAAACACAGCAGCATCTGTACTCATGAAGTCGATATGTACCCCTGCATATAGATTACCATCTGCACAGGTGGGACAGTAAAAAAACAGGGTGGTAAAACAGTAGCTTAAGGAGTTTGAGAAGGAATTTAGTGGGTTTTTTTCTGGCTATAAATCAGTCATGTCTTACTGATCAAAACTGCAACATTCTCCTGTTTGGGATCATAGGAACATTTTCCCTTCCCCGAATCCACATACCCAGGGACCAGCCTAAACAGGTAGTCCTGCAGAGGCAGATTAGATAGTCAGTATGCATGAAAATAGACCGCTAAGACATCACAAGGGAGCATGGGAAATCATAAACAAATCAGCGCCCCGGGTGGTAGCTGTGAAATATTTAGCGAGGACAAAGCTGGGGGGGTTTTGCTGTAAATGCCTCTAAGGGAACGGTAATCGTCTTGTTCACCTCTGCCCTCCAGCCTCTGTTGATGAATGTGCAGATGGGTTGGTACGCTCCTGTTCCACAAGTGTAGAGGTGGGTGCGGTTCCACGGCTCTATCAACCGCACAAAGTTGGCACATTCACCCTGACAAAGGAGAGTAAGACAAATGGAATCCAAACACTGTATCTTGAAAGCAGGAGCCTCCAACTTTTTTGAAAGAACAGGATGTAAATACTTGACGCTACCTGTTTTCCCTTTCCTGTCATCTGACATTCTCCCTTTCTCTTAGCAGATGCTGGCCAGTGGATCTGTTGTTCCAAAAGCACAAATAGCCCCAAACAGTGAATTATTAAGGATCAATGCACTCTGAGACTAAATACCACATACCAAATGGCAGAGCGGATTTAGGAAGAAAGGAATTTATACACACTATGAGTGGCTCCTTGTTAACATTGTGCATGTCCAGAGCCACCAGGTACTCCCGGCTGCCCAAGTACAGACGTCCCTGGTCCTGATCCATCAGAAGTACACGGTAATCGCTGGTATTGAAGGTGAAGCTGAAGGGTCGTGCCGCTCTTGTGTCCATCAGTTCTGTTTGGAAAGTGTTGCCAGTTTGTTAAAAAATAATTACAACTTCGCCACTCGGAAAAACCAGCGTCATGTGGAGAAAATCCAGTCATATTATTCCTTTTATGCTTTTACCATGTTTCATTACAGACTTGGATGAACTTATGGTCCCTTAAACAGCATACTTCTCACTTGTGTGCAGGAAAATGTGTGTCACAGATTAAATATAACTCAACTTAGAGCATTTTAGGAAACATTTTCGCTTTTAAGATCTTAATATTTTATGCGTCCTGGCTGTCTGATTGAGTTTAAGGCACCGCGTGCCCTGTGGAGTTAGACGAAAAAGCGAGTCCCTTAGGAAACACGGTCAGTGGAACTCACGGCTAATTCTTAAGATCAGATTTGTGTTCAGCAGAGCGTAACCTGTTAAGACATGCAGTGAAAAATGTTTCCCCCTTTTTTGTTCTCCTGAAAACCCCGATTAGGCTATTTTCATCTGCCGCAAGACAAATGGACTCTACTGTGGAGGACTTTACTTCTGAAAGTTTCCATTCTTTCATCTAACAACTAGTTTAAACACATACAAAGTAAGACTCGCTCATACATCTGTGGCATGTGCAAAATTCTGACCACCATATGTGCACACTGTGACATGGCGCACTCATGGTAAAGACAGCAGGATTATATATTGACAAATGTTCACAGAGACCCTTAGAAGTGGGCTTACAGGGAATCAAGAGGAAGCACAATCTCTATTTACATCAAAGCACCTTCCATTTTCTTTTTGAGGCCCGTGTTAACAGGATGCAGTCAAGGTGTAACAAAAATAAGCTATGCAATCGGATCTCCGGGCAACATGGGATGGAGTCTCAGAGGTGGGACGAGGTCTGGTTCTGTTCCCAAGAGGTAAACACAGGATAACAAGCTTCTGGACAAGCGCCACATCACTGGGTCATAGTGGATTCACTGAACAGGCTAAATGTAGAAACACCACACCCCTATACATGTCTCCATTCTCCAAAAATAGCAAACAATGTACTGCCATCATCTGGTAAACATTCAGCAAACACTTACCCCCTGACAACATTCTGACACTGACAGGGAAACACTGGGAAGGACACACAATTCAAGTATGAAGCCACAGCTGGGCCACTATGAGCTCTCGTGTTACAGCTTGACAACATATTGTCACTAAGGCACTAATGACTGCTGCCATTTACTGTAGTCCCAGACGTCTCTCGAGTATGAGCTAACTGCTGACAGCACTGCGAGGGCATAAGATTCTAAAACATGGCTTCAGTTACACTGCCGATTCTTCTCTCTAGCAACACTAATTCAACCGATTTACAGTTATTCCCATTTCGGCGCTTATGACTGATACAACTTCCCAGCAGCAGGGAAGTCAGTGTAGTGTTCCTTTCCTCTCCAGGCCTCCTGTACCCCCAGAGTGTCACTCAGCCCGGCTCATTCGTTCAGAAGAGTCACATGTCCTCCAGCCTCCTCAAAAACCTCCTCCACAGGCGCCTCAAGGGAACAAAGAGACTCGCTGTCACAAACAATGAACAATAAATCCTTGGAGTCGCAGAAAAGAATTGCAGAGTAAATCCAACTTTTTTCTTTTCCTTTTTTTGTTTGGTATTAGGGGGAAGGGTGACTTAAGTCTGCGAACGTACTCTTACGAACAATCTAGCGTTCACCTTTCAGCTCCTACAAACATCCTCCTGAAAGTGAAATTGTCAAGGACAGCTCCTGACAGATGTGAATTCCTTTTTCTGAGAGGAACACGATCAAGTTCAAGACCGAGCTTGCGCAACTGGTCAGACTTCTACTTTGTTCAAACTGCTGCAAAAACTCACTGGTATGTATAAGCTGTTTACCAAAAGGGGATTAGCGTTAAAAGTCACGCAAAAATGCACAGCAATTACTTTCTCGAGCCCCAAATGGAAAGTGTCTCCGTATGCAAAAGCTGTCAACAGCGTGTCTTTGGTGTTACAAAATCAGCTGAATTCAAAACAGCACCGGCTATAAAGCACAGATCCCGTGATTAGTTCACCTCTAATCTGCCTCAGGTGGCTTTTCTTGAAATTGTACCAAATCATAAATGTTTCCCATTAAATCGCTGCACTAGAAGAACATAATGAAGCAAGCATGTCAGCACTGCCTAGACCTGACCTGCAAACAGAAGGTCCTGACTCAACTCCACATGAAAGCGCTCGGGAACGTTATAAATCTCACTCACACCTCTAATTCTCACTTACACGAAGTTCAGGTGTGATGCCCGCATGTGTGTGTTTGTGTGTCTTTCTGCGAGTTTAAGTGACAACATGATAGGGATGCAGAAAATACCTGTAATCATCCGACATTGTTTGGATCAAAGGTGTCTTCCACATATTTGTAACACGAATCTCTGCTATTATAGTTAATGACGACAGGGAACAGACAACACGGGAAAATCCCAAACACCTGCGAAAAAAAGCTTCAAAGAAAACACTATCTGCCCCATCTCAAATCTACTCTGGCTTTCAAAAAGGTCATGATCAAATTTCAGCTGTTTCCTTCTTGTGTCAGACCGTCAGACGTCAAAAAACAAAGAACTGACAGGCCACACTGTAGTGCGTGTGGATTTCAGGGTGTGGGGACAAATTGTTGAAGGGCACTACCAGTATCCACACGTAATATCCACCTTTTGTTTTCAGCGTTGCACAGTTTGACGTGTGGCAGGAAATACGTTCTTTACATATGCATGAAAAGGAAATAGAACCGCTAGTTCGGATGCGCGCGTGGGTGTATGGGTGAGTTTTTGCGCAAGCGAGTGGCTTTGCGGGAGAAACCAAAAAAGTACAATAAACTATTACGATAATCCCCGCTGACAGAAGAGTTCTAGTTAATCTGGACGAACTCACCTTTAAAGGAGAGGCGAACCCGAGGAGCAGACTGCTGCACGCCCAAGCTTCTGCAAACACAGAGGGCCAAAAGGAGGAGCTGGGCTCCAGATGCTGTCATGGTAACAGTCACGCAGGTAGCCCACAGAGATCTAAATCTGGACGAAAAGAAGAAAGACGAATGAACTATTATTATAGAGTGCCCCATGAGAAATGGGAGACATAAAAAGAAAGAAGGGAGGACAGGCAAGCTAGTCTCTCTCACTTTCTCTGATCTCTCTGATCAGAAGTTTGGCCTGCAGCCTTCCAAGGCAAGACGTCTCGTTTGGCAGGAGAGAACAACGTCCAAATCTTCGCACCTGCGCTGGAAAATATGACAGGCCTATTATTTATTTAGAGTGTAAGCGTAGTGAGTTATGTGTCAAGACTGTATAATAATACTTGTAAGTATACAGTCAGTTGGAAAAAGAAGACTAATGCCTTGTGGTCTTCATCTTGTACACATTACAGTTTGTTTTGCATAAATTTTGCCCATGTTTCTTTTAGAAAACTGTATCAAAAAGATGATGAAGATGCCCATCAATGAGTCCCTCTGGTTTTCCCTCAGTCTTTTCAACAAAGCATGTCAGTGTACTTTCAGGAGCTGAGAAATGAAATATATGACAGTTCAAAGACACAGGTAGTCCTGGCCGAAACAATTTCTGACAGTTTAGGGGTGTTGAAACGTAGCCTAACTGTTAGACCTTAACTCAGACATTTATTATGCATCTGCACTTTGCTTTGAGAGGATCCCATATAAATTATGAATACTAAAAGCTGAGTCCATAACATCCATTAAATTGTCTCCCTGAAGGTGTGCCTTGCTCGGGCTATAAGCTATCCCTCGGGCTTTTTCACCCCCTCCTTATGACATCCGTGTAGCCGAGGCCTCCAGTGCACATGGTACAAGCCTGGAAATGAGTTATTCATGGTCAAAAATGGGGTGGGATTTCACAAAAGGTTTTGTTTTTTTGTTTTTTTTTTCACAATAAGCCACTCATTTATCTGACACACATAATAAAAAAAATTATGCTGCCATAAAAAAGCTGATGAAACTGAAATGACTGACATGGTAAGAATTTAGAAATTTAAAACAGAAGCTGCTGGGAATACCTCACAGTCTTCTTGGCATATTCACACAATTGCTATATTTACGCACCATGGGAGCTTGATTCCTATTCGCTTTTATCAAACCTCGTATATTACTTGCTAATAACCCGTCATGCACCGTGAGATATTTGAAATGAGGTAGAGACCAATGAAAATACAAAGGTGTGAGATTTTTTTTTGTAGTCAGCCCATGTAACATTAACATTATGACTTTATAAATAAAAACATGATATACAAAATATTAATAATAAACTGATACTGACAAATAATTAGAAAACATATTTGACCCTAATTTGAATACATAATGTCTATGACCTGCTGACTCTGAAGTCTACATTTAACCTACCAATATTTAGATGAAGATGGAAAAAATAATTAAAGGGTGAGTCTACTTGAAATGCCTTAAAAATATCGTTACAAATGCAATTAGTGGTTGTTACTAAACCATTATATTGAGCCCGAGGGACTACATGTTCGAGATGGCCTGATTTTCGTGGTATTTGTACAAGTGGCGGCACTCCTGCTGGTTTTCTGTGCTTGGGTGGGATCAGCAGTAGAGATTAAAGTTCTGCTGTGTTATTATATGGTTTCCATTTAAAGAAAAATAATAATAATTACAGGATTTCTATAACCTTGTTCTTTTTTCGGGAGGAGTGCGCGCTTACCTGTGAACTCAACATCCAGAAATAGGAGCCGTGGGCTACAAATGCGTGCACTCCAGTCATCTGCCATCCAGACCACGCTACAGAGTAACCAAACCTGAGTTAAAAGTTAAACCAGAGAGAAGTTAAATGTCCTACCTTTGATACCGGGCTTTCGGGAAAGCCGCCGTGCCTTTCAGATCCCAAACTTGCGGGATGTTACCGCTGCACTCCTCGCGTTTTGCGCCTCGGAGCTGAGCTGGAAAATCTCTGTCAGCAGCTCTGCGCAGGCATAAAACAATCCGATAGGTTTGCTAATTCCTCTTCTGAGGAAAAACCGAAGGCTAATCGGTCGCCATTGACCAAAGGCATTCACTCAACATATTTTTTTTTTTTAAAAAGGAGGAGGAGAAGGAGGAGGGGGAAACAACTAATCCTTTAACGCCTTTTCCACTCTTTCCAAAAAAAAAAGAAGGAGAGAGAGAAAAAAGTTTAAACCTGGATGGCAACAACCATCACCGTGATGTGATCGAGATGTTGGTCCGCTGATCCGTAAAAGTGAGTTTGGAGGTGACTGAGTGAGATTCAAGTGACCAGGTGCAGGTGTTGGGAGAGTGTATGCCCCGCTGTCCTCTCCCTTCTGTTCTTTCCCCACCCAGCCTTCGCTCTCCTGTTGGCCCACAGCAGCATTGGACCAAACCTCTTGGTACACCATATGGGTATGTTAACCCTATCACTGCTGCTGAGTTAAACTCACCGCTCCACTCTGCTGTAAACTGCAACTAATCTAGGATCAGTCTAATTATTTTAGAATGCTTAAATTATTGCGTATTTTATGGAAACTGTGAAGGGCATACAGTCACTGTTGAATGTTTTTTTCTTTTTCATTTTTAGTTTCTTTGAGGCACCAGAAGGGCCACAGACTATTCTTACACATGATGCAGGGACTGAAATTTACTATTAAGCATCTAGGAGTCGGGTCTGCTACTAGGACAATGTCACCATTACTTTTCAGAGCCAGGTCAGCCGAAAAAGATTCCAGGGATTCCTCTCTGGCTGGCTCCAGCGCTCATGACAACAGTGACAAAGCAACCAGAAAGGGGGGGAGGACTGAATGTAAAGGACATCCATCCTTTTAACGGAGCCTTGAGCTTGAAATTAAAACAGCTTTTAGGGCGCCTCTCATCATTGCCGGCTTTGTGGAGAGCCCTGACGCAGTGTGGCGCACTAAAGACACAAAAGCAGACAGTGAGTGTATTCTGAGCAACAGCCCTGTAAGACAGTAAAATAAAATAAACCCATGAGGTGATGTGGTGTGCCAGTGTGTAAAAGGTCACATGGTGGGGGCAGTTCTTGGCAAAGCCTCAGAACACTCTAATCTTCAACGCTTAAATCTATCTTTAATGCACGTTTTCTGGTTTGATTCCTCATCACACCAGCAGAGTATGTGAAATCACTGACCTTATCAGAAGCTGGGTATCAGCCACATGTGATCTACAGGCGGCAAAGTGTGTCAAAATGTATCCAGGAGAGCGCCTTTGTTTCCTGCCCCACTGGAGGCATCCTTCTGTTTCCAGTTGCGGAAATGACTCATGACTGTGTGCCGGGTTCAAGTTTCCATGTGCTGTCAACTTTGGCCATGGACACCAATAAACTGACCAGCTCCACCCTTCACAAGCACTCATTAACGTCATTTGTACAGTATCTTTCACTGCATCATCCTGTGTTCTTATCTCCCCAGCATTCATGCACTGCTGCCTCAACTTGCTAAAGTCATAGCAACAGCCCCTCACTGAGTGTTGCAGTTGGTATTTTTGCTCTGTGTACGTGAGTCTATCCCTGTTAACTCCAGCATGATGGATGATTTTGTTGGAGACAGACTGTAGGATTAGGAAACAACATTGGCTGGTTTTCTGGTCCACAAAAAGCCCCCCTCAAGTGGCTCTTCTTCCCTAATGGATAGGTAATGTGAAATGTGAGGTAGACATTGATCCCTGTAGGCCAACCAAAAACTCCTGGTGAATCCTGGGACCTCAGACCCATCAATCATTTCCAGAGCCAGGGTATTGTCCCCGCAAGGAAAGACAACCTATTATTTTAACCCCCTGATGGGTTTTCATGCAGTGTATTGATGAACTGAAGAGTGTCTGAACATGCCAGCGGCTCTGAGGCATGTCCAGGGCATCGCCATTACATGAAATCACCTTAAGAAGAAATTATAGGGTAGAGAAAATAAGACTATAAGACATTCACAAGAATTGTTTGCCCTGTGTTCAGTGACAAAGCTTTCCACGCAGATTAACAAGCCTTGCAATTATTATCTTACAGGTCCGAAAAAATGTAAACATCACAATGGATGAAAAGAGAGCAGGTGCTGTGCGACACTCACGAACTTCACACACCAGTGATTATCAAAGGAGAACAACTTTGGAAAACATCTTTGACATGAAGGGTGCATACGTGGCGCACATTCCAGACACAGCCTGCTCACCACACAGCGGATTGGGAATGAGGTGAGTGCAGACTTTTAGTGCAAACACTCTACAAACATAATGTAGCTTCGGCTTCTTTGAGATGGAGCACCGTCTGCAGTCGTCCAACATGCCACGTGTCTACAGGGCCAGCCAGCCCGCCATCTGCCTTGAAGACAAGACTGGCACTTTCCCTTGTAATAAAACGCAGCTGGGAGATTCAACAGCTGCTGAAGAAGAGCTCTTTCCAAATAACAAGGGGTATGTGCGTGCGTGTGTGTGTGGTTGGCAGGGAGGGTAGCTGTATATCAAAAGAGGATAGTGAGGATGTAAGCAGATGAGTGCAAGCACAGTCCCCGTGTCTTAAAAGGTAGACCTGTCAGCACTCTTTGAAAAGTCTTTGGTAATAGCTGGTTAATGGTTAAGTGTCCCAGTGGGAGAAAAACAGTTCAAAATGTTATTTGTTTTGAGTATTTATGACTCGAGCTCTATCTTAACCTCTGCCACAGACATTGTTTGCGCTAAGAGAATTAGTGAAAAATGTGGCAAGCTGAACAAAGTGAGAATACAGTGCATGCGGGTCTTTCTTTGACAGATAAATTTGTATGCCGGCGCACATGCATACAGTGTGTGCATGTCGGCACGGAGACACAAACTCGCGCGCGTTCGCGTCTGCTGCTCGAATTGAAATTAAATTGATTTCTCTTATCTCCGTCCACACCCTTGCTCCCTGCTCTCTTCGCACATATCCTTGAGACACCAGACTCCAGGTGAATTTCAATGTCAAAGACACAAAAGGTAACGCAGAAGCTGCAATCTGTTCATTCTGTCAAGAAGTTGTGTGTGTGTGTGTAGGTGTGCGCGTGCACTCGTGTGCGTGTGTCTACAGTACGTGCAGTGTGATTGGTTGGGGATAGGCCTATTCATCTGTCTGGTGTGATCGTGGCTCTGTAACTGGGCCTAGGCGTGAGTATGCACTCTGTGATCTCCCAGATAAGAGTCATCCATCTGCTGTGTGTATCTGTCAGGGCCCGGGCAGCCCTGCTTATCACTGCACTCATCCATTTCCCTCAGTCATACTCACTCCATTCTCTTCTCATTTTAGCTGTTCTCTCTGCTGCACTACTGAAATGCTGTGCTTCATCTTGATTATCTGACGAGCAGTGGATCCCGCTCGCGTTAAAAACCCGAAGGCGTGTTTATGTGACGCGCGGCTCCTGCAAAAGCGTGCGTGCACCCCAAAGCGTGCACATCGAATGAAAGCTTCGCAAACAGCACTACAAGACCTACATTTGCAGACACACACTCACACACAGGTAGTTGTTATTCAAGGAGGCCTATCTCACACCGTCAGATTATCCACTATTGATGAGCCTCAGAGAGCAGCTCATGCCCCTTTTTTGTACACATTGCAGGAGAAAAAATAACCTCCCCCACATTAATCACAGATGAGGAATTAGCTCCCGTGTGTTGTTCTTTCATTTTTTTTGTCACCGTTAATCGGCCTGAGATTCTTAAGATGCACTGAAAAAAAAGCGAAGAACATGAAGCAGCATGACAAGATGATTTGTGTACAGTATCAACAAGAGCTCAACCCAGGCTAGTGTAGTTTACGCCGGAGAATCCATTTAGGATTTTGCCACCCCACACATAACAAAGGCTTCACAGACTACCCTCAGACCACAAAGCAGCCTGAGGATGGTTTTACCCTCCCAGCAATCTGTACTTAGTTTGTCACAATCAATATTGTAGGAACCAACCTCATTATTAATTCATAGTCATGAAAACATGTGGTGCTCTGAGATAGGCCAAAAAAAACTACTTCAAAGAGGAGACAAACACTGTTTCACATGGGATCACTTCATGTGGCCATAATGTGTTTCATCATCAGTATTAATAGTATAGGCCCATCCTAGACCGCATACCCCGGGTGCTGCTACAACAGGACAGGTTTTCGCTAGTGGAATATTTATAGCTGTGCATTAAAAGTGGAATCAGGGGTTTAAGTGTACCATTGCAACAGCACTGCTGGTCCTTTGTCTGGGCCTGTCTAAAAATGTCTTGCCCGTGGCTATTTGCAGTGCTACATTTGAAATGTCAGTGATAACAAACACTGCCGTCAAATCAAAGTTGGAATACAATAAAGAACAGCTGTATCTCAGCGGGTCTTCTTTGATTCTTCCCGTCAAGATGCAAGTGCTGCAGCCAAACATATCTGAGATCACTTTAATAAGTCACACATCTATAACTTATTAGAAGCGGTTCGTGTTCGTGCGAGACAGCTGAGGGAAGACTTAATCATTTCTCATTTCTACACACCTAATAGCCTAAATACTGCTGTCAAATTTGGCTGTTTATGAGATATTAGATTCACTCATTTAAAACAAAAAAATTGACAGCTATTCTAACAATAGATTGGCTTAACCACACTGCCATCTTGTGGCTATTTTATTATCATTATGAAATCCTTTGTTTAACTCTTTCCACCTTGGAAACTTACTAGAGGGCAAGCCTTGTTTCTATGAACTGAGTGGTTTCTGTCTTGTTTTAATGCTACTTAAAGAACAAAGAGGCTGAGTGTGCATCAGAAGGTAGTGAGGGTGATCCCTGTCTATGCAGTTTATTGGGACTACTCTTGGAAAAACCCAGAACCTATTCTAATGGTTATAAAACCACTTTTTTATTAATGAATACTGAGTTGTCAAAGCTCATCTTTAAAAGGTACAGGAGAGGTGATCAAATGCCGTCTTTATGGAAAGAAGAGCTAAACAGTCTTATTGAGATCTGGAACCTTTTTTAAAGGCAGACTGATATACAATAACCTCAGTAATGTGCAGAAGTTTTGGACCACTCATCATTTCTTTACACTTTGTTTCTAAGCAGCCAGGCGTGCTTGTCATTTCTAAGTTGGCCTTGAGCAATAACACCACAATTTCTGAAGGTCTCTCACAGTTTTTCTTTAATAGTATTTTGCACCACCAAGGTGTTTCTCAAAGAGCTGTTAGCTGAACACTTGAGGAAACTGGACAAGCGATCAAATCAATGATGAATCCAAATTAGATATTTTTGGTTCACTATGTACAGAAGAGATCAAGAGGGAGAAACAACAGTGAATGTCTCCATCCATCTGTAAACATGGTGGAGGCTCTGTCATGGTTTGGGGTTGCATTTCAGCCAGTAGTGTTGAGGATCTCTTCAAACTTGATGGAATCATAAAAGTACTTATTGGGAAAGTGTCAGTGGCTTCAGTCGTGGATTGGCCTCCCTAGAGCCAGTATCGAAATAGTGTGGAATCAGACTGAAAACAAAAGACAAGCCAGCTAACATCCAAGGAAGAGCTTTGGGAGAATTGTACAAACTCGTTTTTTTCCTTTTTGTACTGTATTTGCATGTACATTTGCACATTTTCTTGGCAAAATGCAAAGAGGGCGATTTAAATCTTTTTCTCAGAAGTGTACTTGCACAACAATACAGGCACACAAACACAAAGAAACACATTATACATGGTCAGAATTAAAAGCAGGTGCAAGTGTGTCACCGAGTGCATTTGTATGCATCAGAGGATCTGAACCCAGATGTTACAGGCTCGATGTGAATAAGAGGAAGAGAGATATCCAGTGACTAGATGTTGTAAATATTATATATTTATGTTTTTAAGATTTTTTTTTTTTTATTGCGTGGTGGGGCAGTGAAGAGGAACAGGTAAGAAAATATTTAAGAAGCCAAACACATAGCAGCAATTAAATACATTTAGGTATATATAGATATGATCAAGACGAGGATCAGAATGGTGATTTAAGTGACTCAAGTGAGTTGTTAGTGGCAGATGGGCTGGTCTGATATCTGAAATTGCACATCAACTGGGAGTTTCCCACACAACCATCTCTAGGGTTTACAAAGAATGGTCTGAAAAAGAAACGATCCAGTGAGTGGCATCTCCACTGGTGAAAAACTGGTCAGACAAGAATGGCTAAACTAATTTGAGATAAGTGCAACTCCTGTCAGCAGAAACAGAGAAGTGGGTGCTACAAGTGCTACAATTCACACAGAGGTTCACCATAAATTGCTGAATAGAAGACTAGAAAATGTTGCCTGGTCTCATGAGCCTCAATTTCTGCTTCAACATTTGGACGGTAGGGTCAAAATCTGGAGTAAACAACATTCACCCCGCCTTATATCAGAGGCTCAGGCTAGTGGTGGTAGTGTCATGATGTGAGGGGTGTTTTCTTGCCAGACTTTGAGCCCCTTAGTAACAACCGAATACTGTGTAAACACCACAGCATACCAGGATTTTTTTGCTGAAAAAGTCCATCCCATTTTGACCAAAGTGTACCCATCTTCTGATGAGTCGCACCAAGTAAAAAGATCTCAAACTGGGATCTTGAACACGATAAAGACCTCATTGTACTCAAACGTCCTCCAGAGTCGACAGATCTGAAGCCATAAAGAGCACCTATGGAATGTGGTGGAACGGCAGATTCAGATCACGATGTGCAGCCGATAAATCCACAGCAACCGTGTGATGCTATCGTGTCGATACAAATCAAAACCTCTGGGAAATCTTTCCTGCACTTTATTGAATCTGTGCATGAAGAATTAAGCCAGCTTTTAATGCAAACAGGGGTAAAACCTGGTACTAACCAGGTATACCTAAAGAAGTGGCCAGTGAGTGTATATTTGGGCATAAACTCCACAATAGATAACAAACATTTTCTCTAGCACAGCGGTCCCCAACCGTTTTTGCGCCACGGACCGGTTTATGTCCGACAATATTTTCACAGACTTTCCTTTAAGGCAGGGATCTCCAACTCCAGGCCTCGAGGGCCGGTGTCCTGCAGGTTTTAGATCTCACCCTGGGTCAACACACCTGAATCAAATGATTAGTTCATTACCAGGCCTCTGGAGAACTACAAGACATGTTGAATCAGCTGTGTTGGATCAAGGACACATCTAAAACCTGCAGGACATCGGCCCTCGAGGCCTGGAGTTGGAGACCCCTGCTTTAAGGTGTTGCAGGAAAATACAACAAAATAAAACCGGTACCGGTACCAAAAAAAAAAAAAGATGATTTATTCATAACACACGGAAAAAGACCCAGGGAAACAGAGTTAACGATAAAAACCAATAAAACCCCTGAAAACCATCCATGTCACACCCGAGCCTCAACTCTCGCGGCCCGGTACCAAACGACTCACACATCGGTACTGGTCCGTGGCCCGGGTGTTGGGGACTGGGGATCTAGCATATGTCAACCACACAGACAAAGTGAAACAACTGTCTATTTTATTAGGTCTGAGCAAAAACTTGACATTTATCTTTAAAACAAAAAAAGAAAAAAAATTACCCAAAACAACAAACAAGTAGGTATCTGTAACTACAGTGTTCTATAAAACACAGCACACAAAATATAACCTTCTGATCATGTTTATGAAAAACCCTCCAGATTATTTGATAAATTTATCCATGGATTAAACATGTTTTGCCTTATCCAAAAGACAACGCAGAAGTATTATTTACAGGTTCCTTGCTAAGAAAAGTAAGCAATACAAATACTAGCTTTGTTACAGTGCACCCCATCTGTTGCTGTGAATTTAACATTTACTAACACTGTGCGCAGAAAATTACTTCCCCCCCCACACGGCCTTGTAAGGAATATAATCACTTCATCTTATATTTCGTGCTCACAGGCATGCCATAATTTGGATTTGTAGAAAAACAAAGTAATAAATACCATCATTTTAAGCAGATAACACAAACCTTAAACACGTTACATTAGATTAAACCTTCAATGATTTAGAAAGTAAATTTCAAATTAAGTTAAAATCTAAAAGAAAATCAAATATCAAAACTCTTCTTACTCAAGGAGTGCTTTACAAAAATCCACAAAAACGTCAAACTACGCAATGATTTTAAACACCAGAGATGGTTTACAGACTGCTGATGGAGGCTGGTGTGTAGCAAGACAGGACACGTAGAGTAGGGGAGAAAGAAAAACCCGAAACAAAACACAGGTAGTCTATTAAAACAATAATTGTTCCTACTTACTACAGTAGAGTACACGTTTCTTTATACACAACCGACAATAACCAGAGTGTGTAAATGTCTGAAAAGTCAGCACGGTTCTTTCAACGCGACTACCGCCATGATCATCCCTGAGAACAAATTTTGGTTCAGTACTCAGTGCATCTAAAATGTACTGTAACTATATCAAATTTAAACTGTGACATATTTGCTTTGTCACATGTCGATTCCTAAAAAGCCCAGAAAACAAACAAACAAAAGAAAAGCCCAAATGTGACAAGATTGCTAATAAAGCCTCTGAAGGCTTCACTGTTATTTGAAGAATATGCAATGCAAAGTTTTATGCCACCAAATAGGGGCAATCAGAAAACTCACCTACACGCGTACAGGTTGTAGTACAATGCTCTTTAAATCGAAAAACAGTAGAAGAACCAGGAGGCATAATATGCCCAAGAATCTGCTTAGAAAAAAAAAACAACTGCAAAAAGTGTATCAGAGTACATCAGAAGACACAGTACCAACTGTATAAAACAGAGGGGAAACGCGCTGCCTTGGCTTTGTTGTTACAGTTAAACCTGATTTAAAATGCTTCTGTGTGTTTATTTGTTATAAAAAACAAAACAAAACTGGATATTCTGTGCATAAAAATGACTAACATCAGGAAGAAGGGTTTAATGTTTGCTGTTAGTCTTCACAAACCAAGCATTCTCTTCATCCTCTCGGTCTCTGGTCCCTGCGGTGACTCCTTCAAGCTCACGTCTTCTTCTTCTTCTTATGCTCCCTCTTCCTCTTCTTCCTCCTGATCGCTGTCGTCGGAGCCTACAGGACAAAAATCAGACGTCTATCGTTTCAATGGGTCACTTTAATTATTCCACAAAGCAAACTTTAAAATAAAAAAGGTAAATAAAAAAAATAAATAAAAAAAAATACCATAATTTAAAAGAGTAGGAAAGAGGAAAAAGATTATGAATTGAATCCATGTATTGTTCATTCTTTGATTTATTTGTGTTTGGTTTTAAATATCGATTTGGGGAAAATGAATTTTCTTATTTTGTTTCTTTTCTGTTTTGAAACCTAAATTGAAAGGAAAGAAATAGTGATGTTTTTTTATTTTTACTTAAAAAAAAAAAAAAAAAAAAAAACCCCGCAGGTAAGCATGCAGTGAAAAAGATTTAGTTTTGCTGTAGTAATTATGGCTCTAATTAAATCCTATGAGAAATGTATTAGTGAGCCTTTTAATATTGGGAAAGCACTTAAGAAAATCACAGCTGGTATGGCTCAAGAATGTTTTATAACACTGAAATAGACCTTATATTGCCTTATTATCCCATCGCTTGTGGTTTCCAAAAGTAGGATGGGAGACAGAGCCTTCAGCTCTCAGGCCCCTTTCCTGTGGATCCAGCTCCCAGTTTGGGTTTAGGAGACAGACACCCTTCCTGCTTTCTAGATAAGGCTTAAACTGTTGCGGTTTGATAAAACTTACAGTTACGGCTGGATCAGAGGACCCTGAATTTTCCCTTAGTTATTCTCCTATAGGCTCAGGCTGTTGGGGGACTTCCCAAATTCTCCACTCCCCATGTGTTTATAACCCACTACTCAAGTCAATAATGTGTCCTGTAGTTTCTTGTACCATCTGCTGTTCATCATATCCCTATGCTCCTCTTTTCTATCTTCTCCATCTGTGGATGCCTGCCCTCTCCCTGAGCCTGGTTTTGCTGGAGACTAAAAGGGAGTTCATCCTCCCCACTGTCACCGTCCTTGCTCACATCATATTACTGTAGAGTCTTGACATCACAATATAAAGTGCCTTGAGATGAAAGTTACAGTGGAAAAAAACGGAGAAAAACTGAATTGTGTTGAAATTGCGCTCTTATTTTCATTATAACACTATAACAAAGTAAATACAAATATTTTTTCAGTCATGGTTTAAAAACTCAAATAAAACAAGATGTTTTTGTTGCTTTTCTGATTCAGCTTAAATAAATCAAAGAATGAAGGATACGCAGACTGAAATGCCACCCGCAGATTCAACAGCCTCCCACTGATTATTTGTGACAATGGTGAATTTGTAGCGCTGCTGTTAAGAGTGATGTCTTACCGTCGATCACAATCTCTCCACCATCCTCCTCCTCCCCTGGGCTCTCATCTGAGGAGGAGATATTTCTTGTCTATTCAGTTTAACCCGCATTACTCATACATTTAAATTTCAGCTACAACACAGCCCAGCGAGCTCAACACTAAATGGACGCAGACATCCATTTTCAAAATAAGCTAGAAGTGAGAATGAGCTTCTGTATAATGCGGGATTTGAACCGTTTTATCCGTCCCGTCTTGGCACTGACCTGCACTTTGCCCTCTTTCCTCCTCTTCTTCGCCTTCCTCCTCCTCCTCCTCTTCCTCATCCCTACTGTTGCCTTGTTCAGCTTCACCAGCCTCCTCACCGGGTTCATCATCCGAGTCAGAGATCACAACACAGTCGTCTCCGTTGCCGTTGTCAGCCGTTCTAGCCCCCGTGCCACTACTGCAAAATTAAAAAAATAAACCTTCACATTAACAGTAAACACGCTCTTTGTTTTGATGTGCAGCCCACTCAGCTACTGAGAATACTTCTGTATTTTACGGCTTACGATGTGTGTTTCTCCCACTGACTGTTAGTTGGTAGGATCTGTGAGTTTGTTTTACCTGCCGTTCTCCCTCGGTTCCCAGAGGGGAGTGAGGTAGTATCTCAGAGGGTCTCTGTACAGGTCGTCCTTAAGAATCTGAAGAACAGCACGAATTTCATTTCAGTACATTTCAATATGTTGAGATGCACATGTTCAGTTTCACACACCATGTGCATTCCTGCCAGAGGCAAATGTTTGAATAGAAAACACACAATGCACCCCCACAGACACACACAAACACGTTTTCCTGATGGCATTGTTTAAGAATTTTCCTATTATAGGGCTTCCATCAGAAAATGTAACCCTGGCAGCTTTGGTCAGGTGGGTAATTTAATGTCACGCTCAATTAATATGGAACTATTAATTCAATCTTTTGAGGCAGAGAAAAAAAACGCATTAACTATTAACTGAAGAGGGAGCAGCATTTGGGCCTCAGTGCGTCCCTGCACACACAGCGGGTGATGAGAGAGAGAAAAACAACAGGGAGTTCATTTCCCAATTTACAGCTTATACCAGCGAAAGCCCACTGAAGCACATCACTAACAAAGGGCAAAGCCTGAGCCAGCCATAAGTGAACAAATATGGACTTAGAAATGGTAAATCGACTGGTATTTTTACAGTGATTTCTACTCTTACTGAGCTCTGAAAGCACTTTTTCACAACACGTCACTTGGATCGGATCAGCTGCCAGTTGTGCTTGGCATGCAAAACATTTATTAATAATCGTTCATCTCTCAATAGTTAAAAACCCTGAAATCGCCAGTAATGGCAGATCAATATATTGATCGGCTTCTGCTCCATACTTACAGTGGCTTATACATTTGTAGAACATGTGAAAAAGCTGGTGTTTAAGACCGAGAGGAGATACAAGGCATCCGGCTTCAAAATCTGGCAAATATCCTGGCGCCATCCGCTGTGGCGACCCCATGTGAATAACGGAGCAGCCAAAAGAAGCTTAATCTGTCACACTCACAAGCTGATTGATGCTTCAGATTAAATTTGGGGTTGCTCAAGGACACTTTGACATGGTGGGAATCAAACCACAGAGCTTCAGATTTGTAGATGGCCCACTGTGCCCATAAGGCCCTTTTCCATTAGTACCTACTTGGATCGACGGGTTTTCCGTTACAATCGAGTACCACCCAATCGTTGTCATAGCAACGTGGCTGAACTTCCAGTGATGTAATTAGTATGCGACATGAACGCTACAATCAAGGTGGACGTCGAGCGGTCTGAGGCTTTTCATCAGACTCGGAGACCACCGTGTTGTTTTTGTAGCCATTTCCTTGTTTTCGGGGTTTTAAAAATGTTGGTTTTGATTTTCGCGAACGAGACCCTCTCATAGCTCATTGATTGATGCCACTTACCAGCCAATCGGTGGCATGCAGTCTGTTGAAATTACATTTTGGGATTACCTTGGGTTGCTTGGAACCCCCGATGGAAAACCCTGAAAACCGTGGCAAGCCGACCAGAGTAGGTATTAATGGAAAAGGGGCTTTAGTGACCTCATCAACTAAACAGGTAAAAGAGTATTTAGCTATAACGTATGGGTTGGCTCTTTATTTATTTTTAAAATGTCTTTATAGTCTTTTTAAACTGTTAATTTACCATTGAAGCTTTTGTATAAAAATAAATAAATAAATGAACGCACACATTTGCCCAGTGGTGGTCCACTTGATAGACACCCTGATTTTTATATCTGTTAAAAACAAACCAAAACAAAAAAGGAAGTGTCCTTATTGGGGCTGCGCAATTATTTAACATTTATTTTCAACCTCAATTTTGGAAATCAAGATTAAACTGTGTCACATTCTCATTTTACCCCTCTCTTTTCTTTACTTGTGCTCCATCCTTAAAGTCCAACTTTACTCTCAACCAGACTGTGGAAGCTTCAGTTCACTTCACATTTATCTAGTTCAAAAATGCAATTAACTGAAAGAGGAATTTCTTCTATTTTTAAAGGGTAATAAAGTCGCCATTTTTCCAAAGTCTGACTGTAATCATGTTAACTAAATGTGACATAATTGCTTCAAGCATTTGAACTCTGACCCTTTCAGCACACAGCTGGCACACCATGCTTGCAAATAATGATTGTCTAGCAAAATCTAATAATAGGTTAACAAAATACCTCTGAAACTGTTGCAGCCTAGTGGGTCTGAAAGCTTTCGAATACAGCAACACACATTTAAAACCAGGAGATCCTGTTAATCAAAGCTTCAAATAGAAAATGTTTTACCAAGTGAAAACAGAAACTGGAGCTCCTACAACACCGTTACTAAGTCTCCAGGTCTTGATCCAGGTTGATCAGACACAAACATGTTAAAATCTGCACAGTAAATTCTAGTAAATCTGTTTTTATTTTTCTGTTTCGATCTAACCTGCCTGAAATTCTTTAGCAGGCAAGGTTACTGTTTCTATTATTTGTTGCTGCTTACTGTTTCTGTTGTATTATTGTATTAAATGTTTGTGGTGGCTGCCGCTTGTCTTTATATTATATTAGGAGTACATTTTTTGCTCTTTCCTCTTGTCTTGAATAGTGAGTGTAATTGTCTGTCCAATTATTGCGTTTATTCTATAATTTGAATCATTTTTAAAAACATCTTGCCAAAGAACTGCACTTGAAAATTAGCCAGCTGACTAACGCTGCCATACTCACACAAATGTTGATCAATGTGTTGTCCTTATAAACAAATAAATAAAATTATACTTATCGATTTATTTTTGCTACAATCCAATATGTGGGTGTACTCTTGTGTACCTGTGCTACATCATCTTGTCCTGGGCTGCTGTGGTCACTGAACCAACTGAAAAACGTCTCATAAACACCACGTGAAGACTTCCTGGGTTCACTGTGGGCTGTCAGGTTGTGTCCACGATGCCATAGAATGGGGTTGGAGAACGACATGGGAGATCCTGAAAACATGAGCAGCCAGGATTAGAACATGATACTGAGGATATAAGCTTCCTGCTTGACATCACAAATGATTCTTTCTATTCATGTGCATGACGACAAAGAGTAAAACAGTTAAAGTAATCTCAGCCAATCCTCCATTTCATAATGCAACTGTGCTGTCTGAATACGGTGTGTGCCCTTCTAAAAGCAAGTTTCGCCACTCACCAGCCGCATTGTAACTGGGCTTTTATTTACATGAGTCCCCTAAATCAGTGGTCCTCACTTTATCTTGAGTGCCCCAGAAGCTGAAGTTCACTCTCGCATTCCTTTTTTTTTTTTAATCAAACAATAAAAAGGAACCCAAACTGAAATGTATTACTTAAAGGTGCAATAACATCAGCAAACCATAAAGATAAGAAACACAATACTTTACTTATCCCAAAGTTAGGAAGAAAAACATTAACAAACATTGACCTTAGTTTCATTTAGTTTATTCCACCTGGCTCACCTGCAGTGAACCTGTATCCTATAGTTTGAAAACCACTGATTTAAATTAACTTTCAATTTAAAAACATAAAACCTGAATGTACAGAATCACTGGTAAGATTGTGGTAAAACAAACAACAAAAAACACATTTGTTGTAACTTCTGCTGCCCTTTTGGCCAGGTTGCTCCTGGAAATGAGATTTAAATCTCAATGAGACTTTCACCTGGATAAATAAACAATAATAATAATGCTTCACAATGTGACACTGACAAATTTGTCAAGTTATTTGGTTTACTTGCAACTTCTCATTCCCATATATTTTATAGGCAGCTGTAGGGCTGTGCGATATGACCAAAATCTCATATCCCGATATAAGAATTCTATCGTCCCGATAACGATATAAATCACAAAAATGTAACATTTTCTGTAAATTCTGTGAATCTCGGGCAGCTCGAATTGCGGGAAGCGTTTCCAGCTGGGCGTCGTGTACCTGGAGTCGAGTGTTTTAACAGATGCATGAAACTATACATTTTTAGACATAAGTTGTAACGGCCGCCGTTTTCTTTGTGAGTATTTATTACACGGCGTGCTGCGGGGAAAAGCCTGTTCTAATGTTTGAGTCTAAGGTTGTTTTTTTTTTAGCACCTGGCGGCTCTTTTTTGCTTCTCATCCGTAAATACTGCACACTCTTTCATGCGATTCAGTTTATTTTGAAAAGTTTCAACAGGATCTTGAGCTTTATCGTGAAAGGTTTATGTGGAAAATAAACAAGCGGACACGCGATGATTTTACCTTCGTTGTTGCTAACGACAATGCATAAAAACAGTCGCTTGTCTGTCCATAGTGTGGTTATATTAAATATAAGAGAAAGAGAGAACTTTAAGAAATTAATATAGCCACTACAGTGACCATCAAAACGATGAAAAAAATATTGCCGTAAACAGTTTATTTTGCGACACCACGAAACAAACGATAGCGTAAAATGAAACGATAGATGTTTTTATATCGTCATCCGATATATATCGTTATATCGAACAGCCCTAGACAGCTGTTAATGAAAATTTCCCATTTAGTTGTCATTTTCCCTTCCAAAATATGACCGAATTGGGGGATAAAAAAGCAAAATTGATAACTCTACTTTTTAAGATTATCCTTATATGCTAGGGCTGTACTGAACCTCATTTTTCACAATACCAGTGTAAATTTTTAAATGATATTAAAATGTCATATCAATATATTATTGACACACCAATGACATGCATTTACTTTCCCTAGCACACACTACAATGACTCAAGCCCAGACACATCTGAGAGCAAGAACTGCATGTTAGCCTCCATTAACCACTTTGTACCTAATAAGGGAGCTACCATATCAAGCTCCGACAAAGCACAGTGCTTTCCAAAACATGCAAGAAAATTGATCCCACTAAAGGTGGAAACGACAAACTTGTTCCATCAGTTGACGCAAAAACACACCGTTCTACACAAACAGGCTATTAAGGCACATGAGGAGGAGATACTAGGAGCTGGTGATGTGTGACCTAAAGTAAACAAATGCCTCACGTAAGCACTGCAGGAGCACTTCCTAGCTGCACATAATGCAACTAGGGAGTAACCCTTTCCTATCATAAGTTCCTATGTGATAGGAAAATCAAATGGTGGATGCAAAATTACTCATGTAGTTGCACGGTGGTAAAAAGAGGGCTTTAAGCAGTCGGTTAAAAAGCTCGACCCAATATACAACATCCCAGGTTGAAAATGTGCTTTAATTATATTTTATTATGTGACAATACTGTGCATATGGTTAAGTAGTAGCTGTCCAACTGAAGTGTGGCAGTTATTTTATGCTTTTTTGGAGAAAACATTTGACTTATGTGGGATGAAAAATGCCCTTCATTTTGATCACACTAATAAATGCTGCAGCCTGCAAGCAGCAACCACTAAAAAAATGTTTTGTGTTTTTTTTGTGCACTGTCAAAAATTGTATTACTGTATTCTCCAAAAGACTGATATAATTTTGAGGCTACACTATGCTTTACCTAATATCACTTGATTTTATAATCACATGTTTATTTTTTACCTCCCATTCCGAGGTGCAGCTCTTTCATGATGATGTTGTTCTGAAAGTAAGGGTTTCGTCTGAAGTGGAAGCGAATTCTGTAGCCCAATTTGTTATTCTTGAAAGACTCAATCTGAGGAAAAAGGTAGGAAAACGTGTTTTCTTCCATTCTACAAATATGCATCAGCTGAGATTGTGAGAATAAAATGTCCTACCTCAAGATCAGTCATGTAACTAAGAGCGTCTTCATCGGTCTCATCAATGTGAGCTGAGAGATGAGGATGGTTCAACAGCTGGCACATCGAAGTTACGAAAAAACAACATGACAAATTCACTTTAAATACTCAAACACAGCATGGCAATCGGTCGAGCGTTACACTTTCATATTTTAAGGATACAGCTGTCACCCAAAACCCAGGGATCGTTTTCGTGATAGAACTTCTCTGATCCAGATGCGGGCGCCGCTGACGACTAATCTTCAACTCCAGCCTCTGGTGAAGCCGGGCACTTTTCTTCTCAAGGGCTTCCAGCCTCATCTGTACTTGTGCCAGGAGAGCCACCGACTGCCTCAACTCTGGAGCCATCTTTACAGACACAATGGCACATTCGCCATCATCGTTTTCCTCATTTTCTGATGGGAAAGAGGAGCTCGGTGTGGAGGAAGAGCCAGATACCGATTCATCGCCCTCATCTGCTTCAGGCACATCATCTGTATCCTCTCTGTCAGTGCTATGCACAGATGTGGAGCTATCTGCTGCCGCTGCTTGTGTTTTGGAGCCAACTTTTGAGGACTGGTGTCCCCCGCGCTGTTTAAATTTACTCCCTTGTTTCACCTGCTTGGCCTTTTCAGATGAACAAGGAGTCTCTTGGCTGTCTTCTCCGTCCCCCCCTGTGAGACTGGCCAGCGCTTCAGCAGCTGCTATGGCAGCTGAGTCGGATTTGTCCAGAGGAGCTGTGGGACGCCGCTCTGTTTCTACTGTTTTCTCTGCTTTGTCTTTTGCATGAGCCGACTCCTGCTGATCCGAGGGCTGCGGCTTGTCGGTGCTACTGCTGGTGTGGTGGCTGTCAGCGCTGGAGCTGTTGACAGGCTGTGAACTGGTGCCACCAGCGCCCTCTGAACCCTGATCTGCTTTCATAGCGGCTTGTTCCTCTTTACCATCTTTCGACTGGCCCTCGCTCCCGGCTGCTTCTTTACTCTCGGCTTCACTGTCTTTGCAACTTTCAGAACTAACCCTCGTTTCATCTGGCTGGTCACTAAGTTTTGCGGACTTGCTGGGAATCAGGCTGCCTTCATCCTTATCGGGTGATGGACACCGTTTCCTCGATGCAGAGTCAGCGGACTGTTTGCAGTCCATCACTTCACTCATGCTAGCTAGCTAGCTAACAAGCTAGGTAGCTTGCAAGCTCGTATAAAATAAACTGAAGTGCAAATAACTGCACGACTGCGCTCGTTTCCGAGATAACACTTTTGGGGTTGACGTTGTGATCGTAGCTCAGCCTACATTCTCAATAAAGCAACAACAGGAAGCAGTGCTCGTATTTCTCTGCGGCCTTGCGGAACGCTGAAAATTAGCACGCTGCTGCTAACGCTGGTTAGCTCGGCTTACCCAATTCTTGCGTCCTCGCAGTCACGGCCGTACCACATGCTCACAAATAAAATCCTAACAAGAAACACTCGTTCCAGATAATCAAGCCCTGCCACGCTATATCGCCGTTAAGCCGCAATCCGTCTTCTTTATAATAGTTTGTTTTTGCATTATCCGTTAGCTTACTATCCGTGCACCGACGTGATAGAAAAACAATCCTGTGATTGGCTGTGGTACGTCGCGCTAAAATGTCTCGACCAATCACATACAAGGGTGTGTTTACACGGTAATCTGTAGCGGAGCCGCCGCGGGTTTACTGCGCAGCAAGCGCAGGGTCTCGAAAAACATTGCGACAATACTGGGAAACATATTTAAGTGTTTACACGACAGCAGTAAAAAGAGACACTTTACACCACGCTGAACAAATTATGTTAAAATGAAAATATGCACATTAGCCCACAAAAAACCCGCCAGATGTAAGCAAGGACTTGGCTTTGTTTGCATATGAAATCATCTGCGGTGCCCACAGTGGCTTGTGTGGTGGTTAACTGAGTATTGCAGAACGGATGCAGCTTGGGCCTATTCCAAGAGACGATTTCACACATATAGCCATGCATCATAGCCTATTCTGTATATAGGTTGCGTAGCTTCTCCCCCTCATCAAGTTGCTGAAGGTTATACAGAAGAATCACAAACCAGAGGTCATCTGATCCAAGATAATCAAATCCAAGCAAGAGTCATCTACAGCCAGGGCAACCCCCCGCAAAAAAAGATTTGGAATTATAAGATTATCTTGTAGCATTTCATAATGCAGCCCACAACTAACGGTGTGATTACACTAGAATTAAATGAGATTGCTATGTATTTTATCTGAATTACAATGTAATTACAATTACCTAGCAGTACTTGGCAGTAGATGTATTAAAATAAGGAGGTAACAATTCAAGTTTTTACAGAGAAGAAGCAATTAAAAGTAATATTAAGTAGGCTAATGCTCGGCTTCCAGGTATTATAGCAGA